GTTTTCTTAGAAATGATTCTGGAATTCTTTTAACAAATGCATTTTGTAGAGCAAACATTTTTCTACAAAATTAGATGTTTTACAGCTCTGAGAGAATTGTGATAACTGATTTATAGCAATTCTCCCGGATGCTCCAAAAGGTCTTCCGGCCAGACTGATCATCGCCATATATCGCATTTCGAAATACTGAAGTATGTAGTTTAAAGCTTAAATCTTCAAGTCTTCGCAATCAATTTTGAGGGTGTCAATTTTAATTCCTCCTAGAAGAGATCATGATTTTAATTTTCCTAGAAAAATTTTCACTTATTCTGAATTTCAATTTCTTCTGTAAAATAAATCTAAACAATATGACAACAACATCGAAGTCAATTTTTTCTTCTACATTTGCTTAATCATTTCCTATAATTTAATAAGTCGAACCTGTGCCGGCGTAAATCGAAGAAACGAACAACATCAGGGGCTTGATTTAATATTTTCATTAATGTAGCTGACGAAATAAATTTTTTCGCATAGTCAGAAGTTAATAATTTTTTATAAGTTTGAATGTTTCCTTCTGTTGCATACTAAACAAATAATTTAAGTTTTATAATATTGTATGAAACAATAAAAACGTATTCTACCTTATCAATTAGACGACGAATTCTTGATGGAACTAATTTCGTTATAAACGGTTTCATTTGTTCCGAGAATAACGCCGGTAAATTACCACGTTTTTGAAGTAATCCGTTAAATATATTTTCATCTAAGCCGGGAAGTAAATTGCCTAATTTACCTAGGATACCTTGATTCCAATTTTCTTGTATGCGACGTGGAATTTTATTTATTATTGTACGAGCCTACAGAAATAGAATAATTTACAATAAATAATGAACACAGACCTCAACTTTACCTCATGTGGATCCAAATCTTGTTGACCAAGTTTTTCAATAGCTGCCTGATCGTTTCCTAATTCAGCCATCAGGTTATCGGATAGGTCACTAATTTCGTCAGGTCGATACAAGGATCCAAGAACATCTAAATTGAATTGAGCTGATGGTCTACTGACTGAAGAACTTTTTATTAGAATACCTGAGACACTTTTGAGTTTTGGACCTGTTAATCTATTTTCTAAATCGAATTCTTTTTTTACTTCATTAACTAAGTCTTCACATCCTTCTGGATTTGGATGATTTTTCAATAATTCTTTAATATCATCTCTATCAATTAGAAAATTCCTAAGATCACAGGAATAACATTCTTGCCAACGTTGTAAATATCTAGAAAAGCGTATGAGATAGATGCTTTTAGTGAGAATTCTCACAATAAATGAATTACTTACTTTGCCTCTGGTTTAAATGCACGATTATTTCTGTTTGCTTCTATGGTACGATTCAATAGACCCATAGCAGTTGCACAGGACACATCTGATCGTACCTGCTGAGTAGCCAGCAAGGGAATCTAAGAAAATAAACCGTCATACTCAGAACATGATAGTGTAGATTAATGCGTTCTTATCTGCTTACAACGTTATTGCCAACAGCTTTGATCACTTGTCGTGGAGATAAACTTGGTAGTACACCGGCTAGAATACCCATTGATTCAGGTGATTCAAGTCTCAATGGAGCACCATCTGTTGCAAGATTAGATATTGAATCTGATGTTAATGCACGATAAACTTTTGTGGCTATTGCATCTTTTTGTAATGGTGACATTAAATGTAAATTAGCCGCGCTATATAAATAGAATTAAAAAATATTATTATAAAACAAAATAAAATATCATTTATTTTTCTTACGCATCACGTAAAACATTGTTATCATTGAATATATTATTTTTTAACAGAAAATCTAATGGTAAATACTTCAAAAATCCTAGGCCAAGTTTTTCCGTTATTAATTGACGAAAATTTGCTGGATTTAATTTATTTTTTATTTTAGAAATATAATTTCGAACAAATGTACTTTTTTGTTCTTCATTGTATCCCTGAAATAATATCATTTGAATAGAACTTTACATTACATATATGTTTTAATTATTACCTGACGATTTCTGTTAGACTCTATTATTTTTGTAACATCATCGTCACTTGATAACCCTAACAATTTATCTAAAATTTTGTTTGATATAATACTAGGTGGAAGACTAGCTAAAATTTGCGGTAAATTTAAAACTTTCAATATCGATTGCCAGGCATTATCCTATAAAAATATAATTAGAATATAGAATCATCATCAGTTCAATAACTGTTGTTTGTGATTATACTTTTATATAGTCCCATATTGGTTGTATACTAGTAAATATATGATGAGCATTGGCTGGTGTCAATGCTGTGTCTTTTCTAATATCGATCGATAGCAACTGAGTAATATTTTTAAATTTAGAAAATACACTAAATATGAGAATATTTTATGCTAAAACATCACATTCGAATCATTTTCTATTATTACATACTTTGAAATATTTTCATGAGATGGTACTGAAATAAAAAGTCCAACAATTAAAGAAAAGTTTCAAAGTAAATTTATCTAAATATTAGAAAGATTTCTTTCATCAATATAATAGCTTGACAGAAAACGTGAGATCTACAGCATCTTTTTGCTTTTTTAGATATCAGATTTTGATATGTACATTTAAGTCTGAGTCCATTTATACAACATTAGATTTTTATGTCAAGTTTACATGCTAAATCAAATTTTAAATTTTTATATTAGTTTTTGTTTTTCTCTCATCTCAAATAATTAAATTTGGATCAAAAAATGACGGGGTATTCTTGTTTCGTCGACAGTAATTAAATTATTCTTGTTTCGTCGACACTAATTTCTTGCTCGTTTCGTCGACACTTTTTTTATCTTGATTCGTCGACAAAATGTTTTTAATCAATTAAACTTGATTCTTGTTTCGTCGACACTTTTTTTTATCCGTTGTAAAACATGGAATTATAGTTGCAATTATTAAAATGTATACTATAATTTTAAATTTGAAAACAGTTGATAAAGTTCAATAGAAAAGATCAACTAAGCAACGGATTTCTTTATAAAAACTAATAGTGTACAGAAAACAGTTGTAGTTGATAATAAAATATGTATAAATATACTTGTACAGCAAACCTGAGGACTCACAAAATCATCAACATATCAAGAATGCTAGCTATTACGTACATATGATACTTACGGATGATCCAAAAGAAACACAACAACATAGTCACAGTCCTAACCAAGGTCAATGCACCGTTGAAGAATTTACAACAAATGTAAAGAAACGCATTAGAGAAGAACCAGAACCAGTAAGAAAAATATTTAGACAAGAATTAGTTAAACTGCAAACAAAAAATCCTGATCAAGTTCAGTCAATAACTATGTCTGAACAAATTAAAACGTCGTTATATTCAGCACGAAACGAAAGTTTCCCTCCACCACCTAAAACTTTGGCTGATGTGAAAGTAGATGGTAAGTGGAGTCAAACATTAAATAATGAACCATTTTTGTTACCAGATACTCAAAATCTAATATTTGGAACAATAGAATCTCTAGATGAATTAAGTAAAAGTGAGCATATATTAATGGATGGAACATTTCAGTCATGTCCTGCTCCATATTATCAAGTTTATACAATACATAGTGTGAATGATGATCTATCGTCACCAAAATTATACTCATTACTTCCTCGTAAAGAGAAAAACACTTACATTTCTTTACTTCAAGATATCCAAAACGTATGCTATCGCAATAGTATTGCTTTAAATCCAAAATTTGTCACATTAGATTTTGAACAAGGTGCTATATCTGCATGTGAATTATTTTTTCCAAATGCCAAGATCAAAGGTTGTAATTTCCATTTTAATAAATGTTTGTACATAAAATTACAAAATTTAGGTTTTCAGTCTGCATTTATTAATTCTAGTGCCAATGATGATCCAAATGAAATTAATGTTAGAAATCTTTACAAAAAAACTTCTGCATTAGCATTTATGCCACCAACTACTGTGAAAGATTTATGGAGTCAAACAATGGATGAGTATGATACTATTAATGGAATCACGCCTTTTTTTGATTATGTCACTGAAACTTGGATTGAAGATAGCTTATTTGATATTTCTTTATGGAATTATTATGATTTTCCCAGTTGTCGAACCAATAACAATGTTGAAGGTTGGCATTATCGACTTAACTCATCACTTAATAATGTTGCTCATCCCGGTTTTTATATATTTATCCAATCAATCCAAAATGATCATGCATATAATATAGCCTTGAAAAAAATTTGTACAAAGCAAAATAGTTTACCGCCACGTAAGAAATTATATGTTAATCGTAATCACCGTTTACATACTTTAGAAGATAGATATAAACAAAACAGTATAAATTTAAATGACTTTTTGTGTAAGGTATCAAAAACAATAGGTGTTAAAAAGTTTTGATCTTTTTGTCAAATCTTTTACAAGACTATATTGTATGCATGATCATTTTGAAATAAAAACGTTATAATTGCTCAGTTGATCTTTTCTATTGAATTTTATCAACTGTTTTCAAATTTAAAATTATAGTATACATTTTAATAATTGCAACTATAATTCCATGTTTTACAACGGATAAAAAAAAGTGTCGACGAAACAAGAATGGATCAAAAATGACTAATGGCTCTTCGAATTCAATAATATTTAATATAAAAAAAATGTCAACACATGTAGAAGTGATTAGAATACGTGAAAAGGTAATCTTTTATTTCGTGACTATTTCGTAGAATTATACACGCCCACGATAAAACTTGTATGATCTCGGAGCTTAGAATCATTATAAATAGAAAAATTGCGGCAGATTATATCCCTGCACTAGTTGTATTTCCTCATCAAAGCTTCATATAGAATATGTTTAGATAAAGTTTAATTTATGTTACATAAAATAGGTACACATTCACATTTTTTTCTCGTTCTTTTTCTCTCTCTCTTTATCACGATATGACAGATTTATTTTATTCTATGGCATCGTCTACTCTTTGATCATACAACTAAATATCTGACTCTTTTTTAAATTGAATAACATTGAAAAAATAATTTTATATTTTATTTTATTTTATTTTTTGACATATTGACACGACATACTTCATTCTTTTTATCTAAAACAATGACTTACTTTCAAGATCAAGAAATGCTGGTAAACGTTGTTCAATCGATACTAAAACTTGTCGATCATTATCAGTCTTTAATGCTTTGCTAAACAAATTTTGTAAATCAATATCAGCTTGAGCTAAATATAAAAGAGAATGATTATTTTTTATAAATGTTCCACGGACAAGTGTGTGTGTGCTTATGTCGTACATTTTTTGTATTCTAGAAGATTTTTCTACGCCCTTATTTTAAATATCCTCTTGACTAAACTATTACTATAATCTCTATTCAGTCAATTAGATTTAAATAATCCTTTGTTTAACCCAACAAAATATTAACAGATCAAACGTATAAAGCCATTTTACGTAATCTTATGTAATAAGAAGGAGAACAACTGCTTTTGACAACTCAATACATCAACTTATTCTAATGGTTGTTGATATATGTATGATAGAAAATATTTTGATTATTGACAAACAAAAATATCATCAGGCACTACTTTACAA